AGAACTCTCAGTGCCACACGCATGAAAAACATGGCACGGAAGTTGTATGATAAGGAGTCTGCCAGTGAGGACGAGATCTTCAACAGGTACACTTGGTAAATGATGGGCCCTCACAGTTCCCATCTAAAATGAGGAGGGGTAAATGATGGGCCCTCACAGTTCCCATCTAAAATGAGGAGGAGGAAATGATGGGCCCTCACAGTTCCCATCTAAAATGAGGAGGGGGTAAATGATGGGCCCTCACAGTTCCCATCTGAAATGAGGAGGGGGGTAAATGATGGGCCCTCACAGTTCCCATCTAAAATGAGGAGGGGGAAATGATGGGCCCTCACAGTTTCCATCTAAAATGAGGAGGGGATGAGAAGCTTAATTGCTCCTTTCAAGAATTAAAACCTTGCCATTGTTATTCTTATCCCAGGGACAGCAAAGCCCCAGCAGAAACTCCATCAGAGAACACCCCAACCGGAGAGTCCACTGCTGAGGGGGAGGACAGTGAGGCCCTGCTGTAGTGACCCCAGTCCACCTCAGGCCTTCTGACAAATACTTGCAAGGCCATCAGAAAGAAACAGTAGTGAAGCCAGTGGCCCATGCATCCACCAGAGGCAAGAGGCAGGGGAAGCACAGGGCCATCTTGCCCTCCCTTGTTTCCCAGTCTAATTAGTCACTCAGACCTGAAAACATACCCTCAGGGGGTGGAGATTTTACAATTAAATATTTTTGTTCTTGGTGCCCTCTCCCTTGGTTCATCAAGCACCAGTCATATAATACAACATACTTGACCTCCTGCCCACAGGGGACCTCCCCCACCTCCCGGCCCCTCTCATAGGATCACTGGGCCTACCTGCACTGTGGGGCCAAGCCCCGTCTTTTTCCCAAGCCCTCAAACCCATGCATGCATGTTCATCCAGACGTGGGAGGGGGCTTTTCACCCTTATAAGATGGTGGAAAATTCACATTGTTTTTTAGTTTTGTAGTTGTTGTTTTTCTTTTTAAAAATCCCAAGCCTTGGATAGCAGAGAGATGCTAGAGGGGTAGGGTCAAAAACAGTGTGTGAGAGCAGTAATTTCCCAAACTGCCCTCTGCAAGACTATATTTCAGAAAACATGCTGGTGCGGCTACGTCTCCATTCACATGTACTCCCCTAGCCTCTCCCGATCCCTCACTGATGCACATCCATAGCTGCACTGTTCCATACCAGCAGAATACTGCAGAAGGCGCAAGGATTCCTCCACTCCATCTTCAAAGAAAAAGTCACTAATAAGTCCCATTTGGTAAGTTAGTGAACGTTAAACACATTAGTGAGCAAAAGAAAATCTGAATGAACAAGAATTGGTAATCTACCTAACAGAACACAAGTGAATGCTGGCAGTTCAGTAATAGGAGGTAAAGAATGGTGCCGACTGCAGAACAGCAGTATGACTGCTCCCAGGAGCAGTATGACTGAGAAGCAGCCCCACGTGCGTGCTGGTGGGGGTTCTAAGCAAAGCTAGTCGCCCATCAGTTCCAATGAGTTTGCTGAAGCCGGACAAAAGACACCTGTTCTCGGGCCAGGTGCGGTGGCTCATGCCTGTAATCCCAGCACTTTGGGATCATGAGGTCAGGAGGTTGAGACCATCCTGGCTAACACAGTGAAACCCCATCTCTAATAAAAATACAAAAAATTAATTGGGCGTGGTGGTATGCACCTGTAGTTCGAGCTACTCGGAGGCTGAGGCAGGAGAATCACTTGAACCCAGGAGGTGGAGGTTGCAGTGAGCTGAGATTGCACCATGGCACTCCAGCCTGCATGATAGAGTGAGACTCTGTCTCAAAAAAAAGAAAAGACACCTGTTCTCTTGCTGCCAGCCCCAGTTACCTCCCCAAGTTCCTTACTGAGACTGAAAAGTGTCTTTCTGTGTAATGACTTCAGTGAGCAAACAAATATTTGAGTGGAAAGCACAAGACTAAATAGTTATAAGTATAGGCAGAGCAGCAGCTACCATTTACAATTTGCTTACTTGATGCCAAACCCTGGGTTAGGAATTTTACAGTCTTACATTATTTAGCCCAGCAATCCATGGAAGCATAGTTTTTTAAATCATCATCTGACATAAGGAAACAGGGCTCGAGGAACATAGGTGACCTGCCCAAGTGTCCAAGGCCACACATCCAAAACGACAAGTTAGCGTTTTACACCAGGCCTGTTGGACTTCAAAGCCTCTTAACCATTCCACTGCCCTGCTGTAGGGCATGGGAGATAGAGGGGGATGAGCTATGGTTGCCAGCAAAGAGTCAGTAACAATAATATGGCGATGGTGAGGATGATGACAGCTGCTGTTTATTGGGCACCAGCTGTGATCCAGGTACAGTGCTAAGCACTTCAGTTACACTCTTAAGTCACCAGGACAGACACCCACACCAGCTCTGTAATGGGGTGAGTGTTAGACATAAGCAGGGAGCTGACAAGAAGCCAAGACTAGGCTGGGCATGGTGGCTCTCATCTGTAATCCCAGCACTTTGGGAGGCTGAGGTGGGTGGACCACCTGACGTCCGGAATTCAAGACCAGCCTGGCCAACATGGCGAAACCCCGTCTCTACTAAAAAATAAAATTAGCTGGGGTGGTGATGCGTGCCTGTAATCCCAGCTACTCGGGAGGCTCAGGCAGGGAGAATTGCTTGAACCCAGGAGGCAGAGGTTGCAGTGAGCCGAGATCACACCACTGCACACCAGCATGGGACAGAGCAAGACTCCAGCTCAAAGAAAAAGCCAAGACTAGAGATCCTTGCACTGCTAGGCTCCCAAAGTCTGGATTTCAAGCATCTCCAGGTTCCTATTTTGGCATATTTATATAATTTTTATGCTTAATTTTTAAATATATTTTATGTATCTCAAATGTGTACATGTTTTTTGGAGACAGGGTCTTGATTTGTCACCCAGGCTGGAGTGCAGTGGTACATTCATAGCTCACTGTAGCCTCAAGCTCTTGGGCTCAAAAGATCCTCCTCCTTCAGTCTCCAGAGTAGCTGGGGGCTACAGGCATGCACCACCATACCCAGCTACAAATCTTATTATTCCCAAATGCTACCCCACCATATTTCTAAAAACTCCCAAGAGTAATATTCTACTTTGCCCAGTTTGTCCTCAACTGAGCAGTTTTGGCTGAGCCCAGAGTTTCTGCCTGTCGCCTGGGAGAGGGAGGGGCGCCCAGGGTCAGGTGGAACAAAACATGACTGCCTAGGACTGCCCCTGTCTCCATCTCACTGACGGCAAACCACGGCTCAGAGGGCCAGCTCTTAAGTGAGACCTGAGTGCCAGAGAGAGGTGGACGCAAGGCCAACAGCTACCAAATGAATAAAAATTCTGATTCCAATTAAACCTGCCAGAGAAATAAAGCATTTGGAAAAATAACGAAATAAGGTGATGTCTGATTAGGGTAAACACGATGCAGACAAGAAATGCAGCAGTTCAGAGGAGGGAAGGTCAGGCCGCCTGGGAAGAGTCCTTGAGAAAGACAGAATGTGCCAGATGCTGTGCCTGGTGCTGGGAAAGAGTTGACTAGGACAGCATTCCTCTCAAAGGGCTCCTAGACTGGGGGAAGGAATGGACATCTGAATACATCCTGAGTAGACAGCATGGGACGGCATAGTGGCAGTGGAGCCAGGTGTGGTTCTGCTCTTGGTCAGCTGAAAAGGAGTAGATGTAAGGGTCAGCTTAGAAGAAGGGAAGTGGAAGACAAGTTTTCTGAGCTGACAAGAGGAAGGAGAGGCCTTCTAGACGGGACACTACAAAGGCAGAGAACCCCTAAGCAGAGTGAGCATCAACCTCCACAGGTTAAGGGCTCAGTCACACAGGACCACCCCCACATCAGATCCCAGTTGCAAGGCCAGGCATCACCTATGCATCTGACCAACTGGCTTTAAATTGGAGGTCCCCACAACTCCCTCCTTAGGTTTGACCATTTGCTAGAGCAGCTCACAGAACCCAGGAAAACAGTTTATCTACTATTACTGATATATTACCAAGGATACATTAAAGGATACAAATGAACAGCCAGATGAAGAATAACACAGGGTGAGGTCTGGAAGGGTCCTTGTGGAGTTGGGGTGCACCCCCCCTCCTGGCCCTTTACCCACTTTTTGTTTGGGTGTCCGAGGCTTTGCAAAAGAATAAGGTGGGAGTCCACGGTGGAGTCACATGGTGAAGACCTAGTTAAGTCAGAGGCCTGGAGAGGTGTCATTCTAGCTGGGCAGCAGTTGACACACAACCAGCCTCTGAGTTGATTGAAGAAGCACTTAGGATTGACCGAAAGTTTGTTCTGGAATGTTCTCACTGGAATGAAAGCTGAGTGGTCTGCAGGCCATATAGTATACTTAAAGAAAACAGGCATCATTGAAAAAGGCTGCCAGAGTAAAGGTGTCTACAGGGAAATTTAGGTTTTTTTTTTTTTTTTTTCTTGAGATGGAGTTTCACTCTTATTGCCCAGTCTGTAGTGTAATGGCACGATCTTGGCTCACTGCATCCTCTGCCTCCTGGGTTCAAGCAATTCTCCTGCCTCAGCCTCCCTAGTCTGGGATTAGAGGCATGCACCACCACCCCAGCTAATTTTTGTATTTTTAGTAGAAATGGGGTTTCACCATGTTGCTCAGGCTGGTCTGGAACTCCTGACCTCAGGTGATCCACCCACCCAGCCTGTTTTGGGGTGTGTGTGTGTTTGGAGACAGTCTCACTCTGTCGCCCAGCCTGGAGTACAGTAGCGTGATCTTGGCTCACTGCAACCTCTGCCTCCCAGGTTCAAGTGATTCTCCTGCCTTAGCCTCTTGAATAGTTAGGATTACAGGCACCCATCACCACACCCAAATAATTTTTATATATTTTTTTTGTAAAAACAGTTTCACCATGTTGGCCAGGCTGGTCTTGAACTCCTCACCTCAAGTGATCCACCCACCTTGGCCTCTCAAAGTGCTGGGATTACAGGCATGAGCCACTGTACCCCACCAGGAAATTCAGTTTCTGAAAATACACCTGTGGATCTCTAGCCGTGAATATCCTTGGAGGCTGCTTTAAATGGCTGATCCTCAATGCCTCCCTTCTAACTCACATGCCCATTTTCCTATATCAATCTCCCAGAAAAGGGGACCTCTTTTTTAAAGATGGGCCTCACTTTTTTCCCCAGGCTGGTTTTGAACTCCCGGCCTCAAGTGATCCTCCCACTTTGGTCTCCCAAAATACTGGGATTACAGATAGGAGCCCCGAGCCCAGCAAAGCCTCTATTAAGCCCTTGTATGCTCACTCTGCGGTACTGCAGAAAGAGCGGGAAGGGAGCAGAGGTGCGCTGGCGTCTTCAGCTGGAAGTGAGCAGGGGGCTGAGGGTGGAAGAGGCCGGGCGCCTGGGGATGGGAGGAAGGACCACATCTTCACAGGGACGCCACCCCGACCCTGGAGGTCAGGACCTCTCGCCTAGCTCTGGCTCTGAGGTCCTGGAGGAAAGAGATGCTGTTGAGACTCAGAAGATCAGGGGAGGGGGCACCCCCATTTGAGAAGAGTGAAAATCCCGAGCCTGAAGCACAAGTGGAACTGGTTGGAGCCAAGGCTTTAGAGGTGGCGTTGGGAAGAGGGTCTGACGCCGCCCTATGGACCGTTTTGGGCTCGCCAGGCTGAAGGCTCCTAAAACCGCAACCTGCGAAGCAGGGTGAGGTTCCACGCGGATGGGCCGGAGCCCCCATCGTAGCCCTGGACTTCACCGCCTTACGGCAGGAGAGCTCAATAAGCTCCTTATTTAACGCACTGTTGTATCAGGTCCCTGTCGCAGCCGCTGGCCCTACAGCCTAATGAAGGAGTGGGTGCATGCACGGGTGAGCTTCTGTCACAGCAACGCGTCCTAATCCACAGTCCAGAACGGCGGCTGGAATAAGGTTCTCGCAGGCTTGTTCTTCGGCTTGAACGCTGGGCCGGCTCTGCGGCTCCCTGCAGGCCTGCGGATCGGCCAGGAGCCGTTCCTTCTGGGCCCAGGCTGAGGAAGCAGCGGCTGCACCAGAGAAGGGCTTCTGGGTGAAGGGGGAAGCGCACGGGGCCCGCGGAGCCACCTGAAGCATCTTCAGGCCGCGGGCTTGGAACTGTCAGGCTTTCGTTTCTACTTCATTTCTGGGCCAAAGCAAGCCACGTGGGCAAGCCCCAAGCCAGGGGGCAGAAAGTACCCTCCACCCACCACAAAACCATGCAAGCGGTGGGTGCAGGGAGGGCTGAGGAATTGGGGTCAATGGTTCTATCTATCCCGGTGCGTGAGGAGCCCTGCTTTGGGGGTTGCATAGCCTGAGTCTGCTCTTACAGTTGTCTGTCACTATGAAGAATCCACCCCGGGACACCATCAGGTCAGGGATCCTGACAAGGCAAGAATCGCATCCTCCTGCACACAGCCCTGCTCCCTTCCCCCGCCCCATGCCTAACACCAAGCCTGGCCCTCAGGGATGACTCAGGAATATGAATAAGAGCATTTTAGGCCGTTCCTTTATTATCTCCATGTGACAGACTGACTTCCTAAAGATCAGCACATAGCGCCAAGTATATGCCCTGTCAGCTGTAAAGAGACTGCCATTTGGAGCTGGGATCTGTCCCCAGATCTGTCAGACACCAAATCCCATATCTACTGCCACCCAAAGGGACCTCCAGAAGAAAGGGGTTATACAGG